TCATTTTAATTTATTTTGTATTTCATTTTAATTTATTTTTATTTTTCATTTTAATTAAAAAAATAAAAAGTAAAAAAATCTTTAAAATAATGTAAAATGTACAAAAAAAACGAGTGGCAACGCTCGGCCACCATAGAGCTCTAACCAAAAAATTCTTGTATGTATGTATTGGGCAATATTTTCAAACAAAGCAACAAGTAGTTGTCTATAAACGATTAAAAACAATAAAAATAATTGTTTTTCACACCACAAACATTTATTGTTTGGGACCAAACAGCGAAACAAAGGAGGCGGTAGGGAATTAGTCACATATCAAAATTCTCGAAATATTTTTGTGGATGAAAGTATGTAAAAAATTTCAAAGAATTTCCGGTTAAAATTTTCCCAGAGTTTCACATTTGCACGCGAACCGTACAAATAGAAGTCTAGGCACGAATTTACAAGGGATTGAAGGAATTTCAAAATATTTTTAGAAACGCGCGGCAATTTAAATAATAATTTTAACACGATATTTTAATTGTTTTAGTTGTATTTTTTATTTTAAAAAACAATCCACTTTAATTTAGCAAAATGGAAACGGACGATTTGGAAAAATTAATGCAGCAGTCCAGTGTCTTCAACAATAAACGAAGGTCAGTGTATCACGAATGCGGCACTTGTATCCATGACAACAAAGCAACTTGCAAAATGGCCAAATAGAATCGAACAGAATATTTTTAAAAGGAGAAAATAAAGCAAAATTCTAGTGTTAAAACTGTATTAAAGACTTCAAAATGTTGGCTGATTATACTAGAAGATATAGGGAATATACCGGGCCAACTCCACATTCTGTGGCTATAGTAAGTTGAAAATTGTTTCTGTCGTTGTGCTCTGAACTACTGAAACATTTTGCCTTTGTTTTATTGCATATTTTAAGCGAGATTTAGGGATAAGAGACTATATTTCAGTAATGTAGGCATTGTAAACATTATACTGCATTGATGTTGATAGAAGTTTTCATTGGTGGCTTATATAAGAGGAATAAGCTGCCGTTTTTGTAATCTTGATTCTTGAATGGTCATAACTTGTCTAGGTGACTAGGTATAGTGCCAATATTAACCCTTTAAGTGGCAATGCGCCCTACTTTGGTATTTTACTCTGTCTGATGCCAGACGATTTTACTTGTCAAGTGGAGAGTGCTGCCACTCAACGGCCAACAGGTTAATAAGAAAGCTTCGGATTAGTTTTCCTTGCAATTTGTTGTATCACTATCAATCTGAAGCTTTCTTATTGCCGTTGTTTGTGTCAGAACTGCACTTGAAGATTGCAAATATAGGGCATTCATAAAAATAAATATCAGGATTTTGGCATTTCGCTCGATAGAACGACTAAAATTAGACCTACCAGGAGCAGTTGCGAAAATGCAACTAAGTAGGCCCTCTGGCAGGAATCGAACCTGTGACCGGTGATTCTGATGCAGCACTCTAACCAACTGAGCTACAGAGTCGTCAAGCATTTAACCAGGGCAGCAGGTTCAATTTCTACCAGAGAGCCTGTTGTTGCACTTTTGCAACTGCTCCCGGTTACACCGGTGGAATTGTCAGTTTACCGTCGCCTGCCTGCATGGTCTTTGGGAACTGCATGAAAATTTTCATTTGGTTATTTTTTTCATTATTTGTCTTATTTTTTTGGATAACATTTTTCAAGAAATTATCGAGCTGTGTTTAATATACTTTCGAAACATAGCCTACGACGGACTATAGCATTTGCTAAATGTACAAGGTCATAAAAAAAATTTAAAAATTTCCGGTTGGAATTTGTTGAATTTTCAGCCGTAGTTTGTCCAATTTGAAATAAAATAATGAATATTGAAAACATCAACTTTTGAAAATTAATAGGTGACAATAAACTGATACCTTAATTCCATAGGCCTTAGGTCTAAAATCTATCGTTTTTGCTAGAAATGTCTTGAAGTTCAAGAAACGACCTGTCAACAAAGGTTTTAATTAAATACCATCATGGAAATTCTAGGTTGACTTTTTCAAAATGGTTCCAATTAAGTGTAAGTAACAAATTTTTCAACATTTATTCCTAGAAAGCAAAGCCGACCCGCAGGCGTCCTGCTGAACACCTCATTTTGGAACGAAGACGGAAAGAAGCTTTGGTAGAAGAGGCACGAGAGGAAACCAAATTTATGAAACAATGCGACCTAAAATCTTCATGGGTGAAAACCACAAACAAACGCATCGAACGAAACACATTGAAGAGACGGGTGCAACAAGAACTGCTGAAGGAGACTTTTGCTCTCGAAGACAGACGCGAGATGCTTCGGGAAATGTTGTTAGAAGAGGAGCACGGTTATATCGAGGAAATGGAAAGCATGCAAGAAACAACATTGGAAAGACAAGCCAAGATGAGGGAAAGAGCGAAATATTTGAAAGAAAAGAGAGAACATGAAAGACAAGAGTTTGTTGCTGAAAAATTAGATCAACGATGGAGGTAAGAAATATTTCAGTGGAGAAATTGAAGTGCCAGCAGTCTCCCCTTGATGAGTAAAATCATCTGGTGTTAGACAGAGTAAAATCATCTGGCATTAGAGAGAGTAAAATAATAACATAGGACACATTAGGGCGCAATGCAACTTAAAGGCACAAGACACATGGGCAGATAGTCTGATTAACCCACTCGGCAGCACTGACTTCCGTTGATGAGTAAAATTGTCTGGCATTAGACAGAGCAAGATAACAAAGCAAGGCACATGATTTTACTCATAACAGGGAGAGTCATACATGCATGTATTGTTGAGTTAATAACCCGTTGAGCGTTAATTGCGCTGTCCTCTTTGTGAGTAAAATCATCTCGCATTAGACAGAGCAATTATATAAAACTGGGGCACAATGGTAGCCACATATAGTACTGAAGGGGCTCATAACTATAATATATGTATATATAGAATTGGCCCCTAAAAATATGGCCCCCAAGGTCTGCTATGTCCAAGAGTAACATGGGTGATGTTTTATGACAATTGTATACTACAGTATTTTTTTTCATAGTGAAGATAATACAGTAGTATATTCACTATGAAAATGCAGCCAAATAGGATTTTAAAAAGTAGGTAGGAACTGTCTATTTATTGCTCACTTATAATTTCCTGCCAGGGATCAATGTGAAGAGCTGAGATCAATCCAGTCAAAGCGAAACCAAGACCAGGTCTGTCATGAGAGAAACGAACAAATGTTACTGAAGCAGGAAGAGAAAAACCGCCAAGAGGAAGTAGAGAAGATGTATGCTGATCTCTGGGCAACCGATCGCATCGCCAAGTCCGAGCGAGAAGAACAGGAAGAAAAGAATCTGATTGAGAGAAATAGAGAATGTCTGAAGGTAAGTATCCTTGCGAAAAAGTTAAGGTAATTGATCTGACACTGACAGGATAATATCATGAAATTAAACATAGAAGAGATGCACACACATAGCACAGATACACTAATTCGATCAATTGTCAAAAAGTTATAAAATGTTACTTACCCTGTAGTTTGACAGTGCAAACCAGGGGTGTAGGGAAGGGGTTTCGGGGGGGGGGTAATTAACCCCCCCCCTGTATCTCGAATGAAGTTTTAAGTTAATTATCTTTAAACTTTCATGAACGGATTTTCACTCCAGGTTCTGCAACTTCAAATCACGTCAAACACCCAAAAAGTTGAAGAAGAGAAGAAGTTGAAAGATCTGGAAGCAGAATGGTTGAAAGAAGAGACTCGAATGCGTAAAGAAGAGGAAGAATGGATGAAAAAAGAGAAACTAAAACGACAAGAACATGCTAAACGTGTTCGCGATGCTTCGGTCAAGTTGAAACAAAAGAAACAAGAAAAAGAGAGAAATGAAGAGCTTGCTTTAGAACATCAACTGCTTCAAAAACTTTTAGAGGATACTAGAAACCAAGAGAAGGCGGACGTACAGAGAAAGAGCGATCTACGCGAGGAAAATTTGAGGTTTATGGCATATGTCTCTCAGAATCGAAAGGATGAACAGGAAAAGGAAAAGAAGTTGGAGGAATTGATTCATGAAGAAGTGGAAGTGAAGTGGCAGAAAGATCTGGCCAAGTATCGCTTGGAGAGAGAGGCAAGGAAGAAATTATTGCAGACTGTCTTGGATACACGGCGAGAGCAGATTGGCGAGAAAAGTAAGTTAATGCTTGTGGTGAATGTGGTGATGATTATGGTGAATGTGGTGATGTATGTAATGTGATGATGAAGTAGTGATGAATGTGGTGATGAGAGTAATCTTGTATGGGGTTGGAGGAAAGGAAAAAATTGTTTGAGATATGATTTAAAATACATTTTGACAACTGAGTTGATGAGAAAATTAAGTTTAGTGTTTGTGGTCAATCTGGTGAAGCTGGAGATAATTATGCGTGTTCTAAAAAATGAACAATGGTAATGGTAAAGTTTTTTGTTTAAGATGGTACAAAAGACAGTGGTTATGGTGCTCGTGATGATGTTGGTTATGGTGATGTTAATGGCGGTGGAGATAATGGTCGTGATGATGATGGTGGTAGTAGTGATGGTGATTGTGTGATTATGATTTGGGTGATGGTAGTGATGGTGGTATAAATGTGATGAAGTACGAGCACAATGATGGTTAAAAAACTCACAATAAATTCTAATGATTCAATGATGAATGACGATTGCGATTGTGGAATTCAAGAAAAAGACCACGTGAAAACATGGTTGTAATTGTGGGGGTAAATACCACAATATTCTTAACCTCCGTCGTTATTTCCTTCCCAATAGATGAGCAAAATGAGCAATTGAGACAAGAGGCAGAAAGGGAAAGACACGACTTGTTGAAAGTGATGGGCGAACATAAACGTATGGCTCAAGAATCCAGTGACAAATTGAAACAACGAAATCTATCTTATCAAAGAGATCTTGAAATGCAAATCGGGTATGAGAAAACAATGAAGGCGAGAGAGAAAGAGGAGGAATTGGATGATTATCTAGCAGGAAAGGTATGCTGGAATTTTATATACACGCCAGGGCTCGAAGTAGAAAAAATATGGCCTGACAAATATGGCTGCAATTTGAATTACCAAACTGTCTCTAGTCGTTGTTGAGAGCAAGCATTCCCGATATCTAACAAAATATTTTCATGTCTATTTTTCAGGAAGCCGAGAAACAATACCAGCGAAAGTTACAGGCCGCTGTTGCAAGACCCCACAGTGAAAAACTACATCCATCTCGCAGGCGAACCATGGAGAGACATGGAGGCTCTGCGCGTTAACAATATTTTATTCAATTTCCTCTCAGTCCTCCTTATGTGTGTTATATTTACGTTGAATAAATATGTAATAAATGGTATGATGCTTATTAGACTGTGTCTAGAATTTTCAGTTTTCTTTCCATTTCACGCCAGTAGAAAACTTCGATCTCCTCCAAAATACATCATTATCGTTTCATCAAAAGTACTTGCGAGTATCACAAAAGTTCTATGTCTATGAAACGTTCAATGTGCCTAAAGTGCTTTCTTCTGCAATCAGGAATTCACAGTAAGGAATTGGTCGGCCATGTGTACACTTCTTAGCATCAAAACCCTGATTAGAACCATTTAAAACAGTGGAATCGAGTGACTTATACAGATGCTGCAATCACTTTGCGACACAACATATCTTGGTTAAAACCAGGCGCACGACAGACATGCGATGGTTGACGTTTGCATAAACATGTCTGGATATCGAATCCATGTCACCATCATTTTCGGAACTCCAATCACCAAATATTTGACGAAGTTCTCGCCTCTTTGCCCAGACCAAATTTCATTAGATCATTTGGATGACTCACACAACTAGTGCCAGATCCCTCCTCAGTAGATCACACAACCAGTGCCAGACCCCTCCTCAGTAGATAGGCCCCTCGTCCATGTCGTCGTCATCTTGGAATCCAACCTCGTCTCCGTCGTCATAGTGAGACACAAGATAATCATTGTCCTAAGAATATGTTTCATTGTTTTAAAAATAACTATACTCAAGTTCAGTCCGTTCCACATTGATGTAGCGTATATCTCGCTGTCACCCCTCAAATAAATGTTTGCTAAGCAGGCTAACATGGATGCTAAGAGTCAACCTCATTGGTTCAGTGTTACCAAGAGTACCCAGCGAAAACATGTGGTGTTTGGTAACTTTCGAACAAACAATGATCGACCAAAGATCAAACAGAAGTATAAATTTCGCATGCAAAACATTTAGTTTGATACCACCCAACGAATGTTATTTATGAGCAAAACGAGCTCGCAAATGGTAATAAGGTTCATCCTAATTGACGCAGTTTTTTTGCAAGAATAAACTGGAGAAATCCTATGTGTTTGGTAGAGTCAAACTGGAAACACTCTTACTGTTATGATTGACACTTCGCGGGAGAAATGTGTTATGCACGCCTCACGCAAGCTCGCAAATGTTAAAAACGTTCATCTAATTGTCTGTAATTGATTATTTTTGCAAGAACAAATTGAAGAAACTTGACGGTGTTTGGATTAGTCAAGCCTAGAAGCAGTCTTCTCATGAGCGAAGGATTATTTCCTACCTCTTCCTGGTCCTCCTCGTCGTATTCTTGTTCTTCTCTTCCTTCTTCAACTTCGTCTTCTTCCTCATCATCTTCGTCACCTTCTGTCTTTTTAGCAAGCTCCTGGAAATAGTTCAATATCTCTTGTTGGAGATCATCTATCTCTTATTGCAATTAACAAATATAAAACATTTTCCGCGTTGATATAACTATATATCAATACGGAAAAATATAATAAATAAAGAAACTTGTAAATAAAGAAAGATAAAGAAACTTGTGCTAAGGATATAGCTGCAGTTTTTTTCAACTCTACTTACGTCCAGATGTTTGGTAACATCAGAAATTTTTCCTGAGCCTTTTCCGGTCCTTGAGCGATTCAAATTTGGTCCTTAAAAAAGTAACAAAAATTATGAAAAACAGAAGTTCAAAGATTTCTGTCTTGAATTTCATACTGATCCTGTTTCTTCATTACAAAAGTTTAGTTAAAAACGTACTTGCATTCGTGCGTGATTTTCTTGTTTTCTCTTTCAATTCTTCCGGAAATCTACTCCAGTCTTTAAACAAGGAAATATTACATTGTTAACCAAACACGTCTTCACACTACGAGGATGTTTTCTCTCAAAACCACATAATGTAAAATTGAAAGAGCACCTGGTTCCCACTTTTCATTGTTTTCAGGTTTTTGTTCTCGATATTTATCTGAATATCTTGCAAGGTCTGAAAACAAAACAATAGAAGAATCTTTATAGTTTGAACAATGCAAGTTATTTTAATATAATCCATTCCATATCTTTCTGTCCTTTCCTATTTCATTTCCTTCTATTCTATTGTGTTTTATTCCATTCTGTTCTATCCTATCCTACTCTATGATACCCTATTCTATTATATTTTTTCTAGTCTAGTTTATTCTATTCCATTCAGATCAGTTTCATTCCATGCCATTATATTAAATTCTATTTTTCTTCTATTCTATATCCCAATATATTCCATTCTGCTGCATTCCATTCTATAGTACTCTACTCTATTCTAATCCTTTTATTCTTATTTATTCTATTCTAATTTATTCTATAATTTCTATTCCAATCTACCCATTCCATTCTTTTGTATCATTCATATATAATCCATTAGAATAAATGTTGTCCAAAAAATAATAGTCACACAAAAACATATTTTATAAATCATACCTTTCTTCACAACGTTGGGTTTAATAAAATATGCTGATTCCTGCATAATCCCTCGGAATTCTTGTTTTAAGGCAAGCAGGTAATCATCAGCTTCAGAGTTGCTCAGCGGGACTGGCTTAAATTCAAGAGGCTGAAAAATATTGAGGTTCACAATGTTGTTGTTTTTATCAATTATAATATCATGAAAGACCACTAAAATAAAAGATATACTCACAGGAAATAAAGGAGGTGGTTGCTGAATTGATGCCGGTAGTGCTTCGCCTTTTTGAATGCCAACTTTACTCACATCAAAAGTGAATTTTCCCCTACCCCTTCCACGACCCGCCATCTTGGAAAAATTTTTTTGGTTTTTGGAAAATGCCTTGACAAGAATCGAAAATTCCTTTACTTTTCCGTAAAAAAAATCATTAAAACTTTTAGTGTAAAAAGAGAATTCCTGATTTTAAGGATTGTGCGAGCCCTGTTCGTACGCTAGTATGGCGGGCACCAAAACAAAAATGTTCTGAAATTCTAAAATAAAATTCAGAGTTTCTAGTTTTGCAAATAGAATTCTAGATTTAGCAGAAAACTGGAATATTTGCAGAAAAATTTGTTGAAAGAATGGAAAAGAAAGTCTCAGTATTAGTAACAGGTTTATTTAGAACATTTTTTAAAAAACACAAATTACTGTAAATCTATTCAACCCTGTTTACATTTGTAATTTTGCTGTTCAAGGAAGTAAATAACTAATGATAGGGAATAAAATGTATTCTGTTTAATAGTGACATTAACATACTTTACTCATTTGAAAAAAAGTACCTGTATTAAAATGCATTAAACTTACCAAGGTAAAGGGCTCCACTCTTCCCCAATTTCATCCTTTTAATAAATGTCCCTATATTTCCCTGATGAAATTTCATAATGGTCTGTAAAATATCATGAGAGTAACTTACAGTAACTCACAATAATAAAACATTGTTCATTTCAATTAGGATTTGGTCCATTTGGTGCACACAAGATCAATGCAAGCTGGGAAGCAGTGAAAGTAAATATTCTTCACATTTATGCCATGTGCCCAGTACTCAACTTTTTAACTGGCAGTACACGTAATGCATCCCACTTTGTTACTTTACTCTGATTAATGCCAGATGATTTTACTTGTCAAGGGGAAAGTCTGGTACTTAATGGGTTAACAGATTTACTTGTCAAATAAGTTTACCAGGAAGGAAAGTTTTGACCACTGGCCTAGCATGTACAGCAAAGGAAGCAATTAGTATCATAACAACATAAAACCAATTTCATATTTCGACCAATTTCATATTGTTAATTAGTATCATGTTTCTTTTTGGTTTTGCTGCAGGAATTAGACGGTATTAGTTTTGAAGACAGTGTCAATTTAATCACTCAAGAAATCCCTGTTGAGTATGAAAGTGTTTCTTCCCTCATTCCAGACTTGTGGAAAAAGTACAAACCCAAGGTAATACAAAAACATATGATCATGATGTACTCTAAACATTGTAGCTCAGTGGTGGACACTAGTGTTAGAGGGTGACCACCCCACCTCCCAATATGTTCTAACAAAGCAGGTTAGGTCATGGCTATAGTTGGGGGGGGGGAGGGGTCCAGACTCCCATCCCCCCCGGCTATGCCTCCGAGGCTACTAGCACCAACATTGCCTATAGCTCTATTTGAAGAAGGACTATTTTGTCCACAAAATAGAATCTATTGGTATGGATTTTCAAACATGACCATGGCAATAACCACATATATTTAAATCTTTGACGTAGCTATGTGTTCACGTTGGCGTTTCTCCAGTCACCAATGCCATGCAGTTAGAGACATGTGCTCATAATTCGGACTATTGTCGAGAAGATATCTCATGTGAATATCCTGATGGACATTATTGTGTGCTTGGTAAGTACGATTATCAATCCTTGAATTGATATATAGATCAAGTTGATCAAGACACTAATTATTTAACTAATTAATTAATTGATCAACCTTTCAGTTAACTAATCATTCAATTAACTAATTAATTCATTAGTACTAATTAGTCAACTTGTAAGTCAATTAGTCAATTACCTTGTAATTAAGTAACAATTAAACAAACTAATCTTAAAACTAACCAGTCAGTAACTATGTAATCAGTTGATCAGTCAATCAACTAATCAGTCAATCAAATAATCATTTAATTAATAAAATAAAACATCAGGCAATTATTAATCAATGAATTCACCATTGAGCAGATCGTTGTTTGCAGAATAATTTTTAAGCCAACAAAAAATAAAAAATACCTCTGAAACATCCTTCGTTTTACTGAAGAAAATTTTAATACATTAGGTGGACAGGAGTGTCTTCATACAAGCATCAATGTTGAGAAAATTTGTCAAGAAAGGGATGAGAATAAATGCCCTTGTGATCTGGAAACCTCTTGTGATGCTGGAAGGTGCAGGAAACTTTTTACTTGAAGAAGAGTGTAATTCTTCTTTAACACCATATATTTGACGATCTTTTAAGAAATACTAGTTTATGTTCAGTACTTCGGTACTTTAGTAAGCAATTTGCGAAGTTGGCTTTGCAGGTTCCACGCCCAATGCCCCAAATTTAGAAACGTAATTGAGCCACAACCAACTTGAGAATTGCGCATTGAAAAGTGACCTGAAATCGACAATAACCGTAACGCATTTTGTCTTTTGCAGGTACCTATGTGAATTCATTTACTACAGTTCGCTAAATCAAAGTATGAGAGCAGAGAACAGTGGTTCTTCAGTGGTGTTTATTCACGTGCCTACCTTAGATAACCCTTACAGCAAGACACAGCTAGCTCACGCTTTGAAATATGTAGTATTGGAGATTTTAAAACAACAAAATTCACATGAACCATGTCGAAAATGCGAACATAAATAATATTGGCAAAAACAATATTGGGAGTTTTTCAATTAGGACTGGTATAATTACACCACAAAAGTTTCTGTATTACTAATTAAACTTTGAATTGCAAAATTTCACATCTTGTGAACTCATATTAATAATGTATAATTGCCAAATGCGTGTAAAATATTTCCTTGTAAAATTTTAGTAAATATTTTAAAACGATTATAATAAACTTAGTTTATACTTTCGTATCCTTTCAATGAGACTATCATTTGCTTCCGCGCAAGGCTACTTGCTTAGCGTTTCTTGTCCGTCTCGTCGTGTATTTGGTTGCGAGTGATGTTTGTTGCTCGTTGTTTACGTACTTTCCTGTACGTCTCAATGTAGCTATCGTTTCCATACCGCAGTGAAACTTGATCGTTATCAGGCTGCGATTATTTGGGCTACCAAAAGCACGGTTGTGCAAAGTAACAATACCAATTTTTCGTTTAGTAATAGTCGCTTGTTTGTTGTATGCCAAATTCCAAGACTTTCCATGCTTGTTCATGTTGTAGAATGGTCTGATCCCGACACATTGCCCACACATAGTGAAATAGCTCGATCTTATCCTGAAATACAGAAAAAATGATGAGGCAACACCATCACCTTCATATTATCATAGTTGATTAACTATGATATTATCAAATCATTAATTGCTGCCATCACTATTACCACCTTAATACCAACACCATAATCATCATCACCACCACTGTCACCACCTTAATCATAATAATCATCATTACCAACACATCATCACCACACATCATCACCACCATCATAACATCATGATTATCATCACCACTATCACCACAATCATAATCACCATTACCAACACATCACATTACCATAATTACTGTCAACAGCACCATCACTACCTACACCACCACCATCATCATAATCACCACCATCACTGGTTCATACCTCTCCTCCCTCGATAACTTTCCCTCTGGCATCAACAGCACACATGGTCTGTTGAGCTGAAAATGTCAAAATTAACACAGGACCTTGTTCCATGATCTTAGCTAGAGCAAGCTAAAGAATAAAATATCAACAAAATTTATGAGTCTGGATAAGTTCATGACGATGATCGGTGTATTTCTTAAAATAGGCAAACGTACATCGACATCTCTTATATCCAGTATTTTTGTGTCCACTTTGATCCCAGCTGCTTTGTTTTGTTCAATTTGTGCTGCCAGTACACTGTACGTCTATAAAACAAATGTCATATTTTGTATGAAAGATTAGTATAATCAGTGACTGTCTGTAGATAGTGCTAACAAAAAGAAAGTAGTATATTGAATACATTACCCGTTCGTGACACCAGTCCTGTAGCAGTTCCAAGTCTCCATTGATATACGCCTGTAATGGTTAAGTAGAAAACGGACTTTACGATAAATACGCACTTAGATGCCTGTAAGAGGTAGAAATACTGTACGCACTGACCTGTAATACTGTTGGTATAATGTCATATTCACATTCATGTAGGAAATTATCTTTGTTAAAACTTGGATCAATTTTTGTGATTTCTGCCAAAGTTTTTGCCATGTCAGATTGAGAGAACACATCCTCTATTGAAGAAAACAATAAAATTACTAGAAATTTTGTTTACTAGAAATTTTTTTTTGAGAAAATACTACCCTTTTTATATATTTGGCAAAGCACTCGGTCCCTAAGCGCAAGCCCGGGTCTTCCGTATAATATTATTGTACTGATGAAGGTTTTTCCACAAAAGGAAACAATCACATCCAAACACACATGAAAGTATTTTCAAACTTTATTATAAATTCACGAATACTTACGAAATACATCACCAAGTTTATCAGTTACAGTTCTTGTTGCCCGAATGAACAAATTATCACTTTCATCGTATTTCATTTTTAAATCAAACAAACCTAAAACGTCAAGATATAATGTCTAGTTTTCTTTGCTTGTCACAACAACGAATTTATGGTTTCAGGAACCTAACTCTGGTGAAAGAGGCGAATTAAAGACCACAAGCACTAATTACCACTGTACATAATAAGATACGGTAATTGTCTTACCATTAACAACGGGATTATTATCTTTGAAATTTTTCCACTGTTGATACCACAACGAATCTTTATGTAAAACAACGCCGGTTGCATCACTTAAATGAAAATATTAAAGACATGCAATCAGCAAGTTACGTTTAATAGGTAAAGCAACGTTCTGGAAACAAAGACGTGAGTTCGAACCCTGTTCGATCAAGACAAATTTTAGAATGGATTTTTAGGTCGATCGTCATGAAAATATTTTGTGCACACCATTCCCTGATAGTTTAATGGGTAAAGCGACGTTCTGGAAACATAAAGATGTGAGTTCGAACCCTGTTCGATCGAGACGAATTTTAGAATGGATTTTTTAGTCGTCACGAAAATATTTTGTGTGCACCATTCCCTGATATCAAGCACATTATCAAGGTGGAATTATTTGTCTAGTGCAGATAAATACAACAAATATACAGTACTGCAGTCTTACTCATTTGCTTCAATTCTCTTTTCTTTTAATTTCATTGCACTTTCCACTTTTGGATCAGTTCTTCGCCGTAGCGTTTCTGAAACAAACAAATACACATCAATCTCATTAATACAGAGATACAAATCATCTCCAAGATGACTTGCTATTCTGTATATGAGATGCACTTACGGGGTCTTTGGTAAGGTTTGGATTTCTCTGCGATTGGATCAAACAAATCTTCTTTCACCGTCTTCAAACCCTAAATAAAAACCACATAACATACATAATAATTATTTTTACTGACTTTCACAAAGCAACTATTTCAAATCCATATAGCGGAGATTATGAACTACTATTTGCATTTTACTCTCATTAATTAACATCTCGTTAATAGACAACTTGCATGTTAGACTAATTTTTGATCCAGGCAAAAAAAGTAAATTCCCTGCATAAAGAACTTATTAACTGAATTAGTAAAATTTGCAAAATTTGGTTACGAAATGTTGTAAAATACGGAAAATATAGCCCTGCGAAGTTTGCATATTTTGTATATGTTTGTATTACGTGCGGAAATTGTTACCATTTTTGAGCTGAAAACGGTAACAATTTCCGCACGTAATACAAACATACAAGACTATATTTACCAAGCTTTACAACATTTCACAACCAAATTTTGCAATTTTACTAATTTCATTATGTTCTTTTTAGCTGTTGTGTTTGATTCCTTTCTTTCTACTTAGATTAAAATTTAGTCTAACATGTGAGTTGTTAATTAATTAAAGAGCAATATTTTTTTACCTTGGTGACTGTTTTTGCCGCCTCAGTTTTTCCCAGCTCTTCACTTTGTTCTTTTACTTTAGTGAATGCTTCTTGTGCAGATTTACCAAACTAAGTCAAATATATTACATCCACAACTTAAACTTGTGTTATATAATTTATACTTATTTCCTAAGATCCAGAATACTATGTTAAAGGCTATAATTAGGCATAAAAAAATACCTGTGGTTTTGGTTCCCGACCAACCCTATTTTTTTCTGCCGACCCTATTATTTTTTCAACATGATTGACTGTGCGACCCTATTTTCTCCAGGTGGTTGCGGGCTGCTGCCAAAATGGCGTCTGTTGTCACACTAATTATTGAAAAAACCATGAAAAAATATTCAAAAAAAATTATTTTCGACCTACCGACCCTAATTTTTTCGCGATATGAAACCGGAACCACAGGTATTTTTTCAGGCCTTATTTTGTTCCTTACTTCTTCAGAAACCTGTTGTCCTTTTCTGAATGTTTCACTCAATTTCATTTCCTCCACCACCTAATGAAAAATTTTGTTACCAAGAGTTAAAACATTTTTATTAGTAATTGCAAAACCACTAACGATTGTGAACAATATTTTAGCACTGCAGTGTTGTAAACTGACCTTTGATGCACTCTCACTGAGCTGTTCTCCGCCATCTTTGAGGACTGAGGATATTTTTGAAATACCTTCACTTGTTTTTTCCTAGTGTGATAAAATTTTGAATTTGAAAAAAATCATGAGATCTGTAATAATGCTAGTCATGATTACTTTATTTGTCCTTAACCAATTAAGCTGCAATGTTCCATAATATGCCTCACTTTGATATTTACTGTTTAAATACCAGATTGTTTTACTCTTCAAGCAGGAGACCTACTTATTTTTTTTGCTAGTCTAATGCCAGACGATTTTACTTGTCAATGGGGAACCTGTGCAGCTTAATGAATTAACCAAAAACTGACAATGTCTCTAGTTAACCCATTGCATCGCAATGCGCCCTACTTATTTTTTTTTAATTGTCTAACACCAGACGATTTTCTCGTCAATGGGGAAGCTCTGAGGCTTAATGAGTCAATTGTAATTATTTTGAATGGTCTATGCAGTGTAGGTAGTTGACAAAGGGCCTTCTCTCAAAATGTTGAAGTTCTCTTCGTACTTTTTAAGTTTTCTAATTGTAATTATACCTTGGCAGTACCAAAAACTCCAAACTGTCTCTTTGCTGACTTAAAAGCCGAGGATTCTTCAAGCTTTTCCGCTTCTTCTTGAAACTTCTTGATATTGTCCTACCAAAAATTAAAGTACTGTATATCAATGGAAAGAGAGGTATATTTGAGAGGGAGGGGAACGGTATCAGAGAGGGAGGGGGTTCTTTGAGGAGAGATATTTGAGATTGGAATTGGGATCTATTTCAAAAAGAAGGGAGGGATTTGTTAAGAAGGGAAGGGGATTTATTTTGAGAGAGGAGGCTCAATACAGGATTAGCAGTGTATGCACTTTAGCTAAAAAAAATATTTTGAAAACAAATGAGAGCCATACTTGCATATTTTTGTCTTTTTCAAAGCCTTCCCTGATGTTGTCAATAAACTTTCCCAACAACCCTTTCGGTTTTGGTTGCCTGTTTGTGGAAAGGTACCTGACATTTTTCTACATTGAAATTGAAGCAAAAATGAGATAATTAATTAGTTAATATTAAACAGTCAGCAGATCTGTCTTGAACAATTTGGGCAAAGAAAAGATAATTTATATAAAAATTTGATGTTAACATTATAAAATACATTAAACATACGGTACAGTAGACTTGAAGGGTGACCAGTAAGGACCACATCCATATTAATTAAAGTTGCCACCAGACTCCCACCCCCACTTTTCACAAACCAAAATAGTGGGTTAAATCTTAACCCCGGGGTTAGTGCCAATCCAGCTTTAACCGGCCCAAGGTAGAGGATAATATAATATAAAGGTTGCAATAATTTACATTTTACCAAACCCAGACTGGAAACTTTGTTAGGTGTACACAGAATAATTTTAGTTCGTAAAAGTTATGTAAACACAACACTTGTTTTTGTGCATGTAAAAACTTAATACCTTTATCTTTCACAGGCCAGGTACACACTTGACACTTGTGAAAATAGAATTTTGTGCACATGAATTTTTGTGTGTGTATGGAAGATCTTCCGTGCACACTGCAAAGTATCCAGTCTGGTTCCAAACCCAAGTAATACAAGTACTTGACGGTGTGTATTCTGACAGTATGTACTTCAGTATTTGATAGCATTTTCTTGATGGTATATGTATTCAGTACTAATTACTTGGGTATGAACCGTATGATAAAATGTACCTGGTACTTGTATTCCTGTAGTTGTATTATACAACTTGTATAGTACCATTTATATGTCAATACTGAAACATTATTAATTTTTATTATAACAAACATTCAAATCTCTCCTACCTGACATAGCACAGTACTCTGTGGCAACGACCAACATCTAAATATCTGACCCCTGTTAACACATCGGTAATAAAAATGGCGAAATGCCACGCGGTTTCCGCAGCAAATTCTCAAACTATAACTCATCTTATATCCTCCTGTTTTCACAAATCATCTTGAAGAATAAAAACCGTAAGATTTTGTAGCAAAACCTAATTTTTTAAACATATTGCATCATGCTTTCATTTCGAAAAATTTTGAAAATTGCTCGCACGTTTTCGCCATATTGTAGCCCGCGATATACACCGCTGTTCGTTTAAAGGGATGTGTTTCCACTTTTTTCACTTCAAATTGGGAAAATTTACTCGAATTAATATTACAAAGTTTTTTCCGCTGTATGGTGCCAATCTCGTACCCTGAGCTATCGACGAGATTGTATGGTATGGTGCAGTCCAATCTTGTTCCCAGAGCAATGCCTGTACATAGTCAGATAAACACAGTGCGCGTCCGAGAGTCCTAATCAAACGAGCCAAAATAGCCGCCACTGAAGGATTGAAATGGCGTAATTGTGTTTCAGAAATGAAAGTAAAGTTAAAACGTGCGTTTGTTACAATGCTTTGTATAATGCAGGTTCAATTCCTACAATATTGAACTGTCTGTGCCAGTGTAGGTAATGCCAATAATATGAACAATATATATATATATATATATTCCTGCTAATAAAAAAATATATTATATTTGCTATAAAAAAATGGTCAAAACCTGCTGATGGGAAGTCCGCGGACTTCGTATACAACTGCATGGAGTTCGTAAATTATAGATCCATTCTTACTCAAACAAGACGCTCTACGAAGCGTTAACTCGCTGGGGCGATACAGCTAATACAACTACGCACATTACTGTACAATGTACATGATACATACAGTACACAGCTCTTTCAATTGAGATTTAAGGTTTTCCCCGAGCTAAGCGGAAAATTCGAATACGAGCGCGAAAGGCTTAATAACACAGTACTAAAATGCGGTAGGCCCTACAAGTAAAGTTATATTTAGGGCCTGTTCATATGGGCAAAAGTTATCTCGG